AGTACATGAAGCCTTGAAAGATAGGAATTGGGCTCAAGCCATGCAAGAGGAGATGAATGCATTGGAGAAAAATAAAACATGGGAGGTTATTGATAGACCTACTGGAAAGAAAGCAGTAGGGTGCAGATGGGTTTATGCCCTGAAATATAATTCTGATGGAACTCTTGAGAGATACAAAGCTCGATTAGTTGTCAAAGGTTACTCTCAAACCTATGGCATTGATTATGAAGAAACATTTGCTCCAGTTGCAAAGATGAATACAGTGAGAGTTTTGTTATCCCTTGCTGCCCATTACAATTGGGATATAAACCAATTTGATGTGAAGAATGCTTTCCTCAATGGTGAGTTAGAAGAAGAAGTCTACATGGAAATTCCGCCTGGTTTTAATTCTGTGAAGGGAGAAAATAAAGTTTGTAAATTAAAAAAGGCCTTGTATGGATTGAAGCAGTCACCTCGTGCCTGGTTTGGAAAGTTTACTAAGGTTATGATGACCTTAGGATATAAACAAAGTCAAGGAGATCACACTCTTTTTTTCAAGCACTCCCAAAATGGGAAGCTTACTGTGCTCCTTGTATATGTTGATGATATTATTATCACAGGTGATGATTTTGTGGAGAGACAGATTCTGCAAACACGGCTTGCCTCTGAGTTTGAAGTCAAAGACCTTGGGAAACTGAGATATTTCCTAGGGATAGAAGTAGCTCATTCGAGCAAAGGAATCTTTATCAGCCAGAGGAAATATGTTCTTGATCTTCTCAAAGAAGCAGGAAAGCTCGGGTGTAAACCCTCTAATACTTCTATTGAGCAGAATCACAAGATGGGTTATGAAGAGGAGAGTCCTCCAGTTGATAAAGGACAATATCAACGGCTAGTTGGGAAATTGATATATTTGGCCCATACTAGACCAGACTTAGCTTATGCAGTTAGTGTTGTCAGTCAGTTTATGGACGATCCAAAGGAGAAACATATGCAGGCAGTAGAGAGAATTCTTCAGTATCTGAAAGGTACTCCTGGTAAAGGGTTGTTATTCCGACGTGATGGCAATCTATCTTTAGAAGTCTACACAGATGCTGATTATGCTGGATCCGTGACTGACCGTCGTTCTACCACTGGTTATTGCATGTTTCTTTGTGGTAACTTGGTGACATGGAGAAGTAAGAAACAAGATGTGGTCGCCAGATCAAGTGCAGAAGCTGAATTTCGAGCTATGGCTCAAGGCATTTGTGAGTTACTGTGGCTGAAAATTGTACTTGATGATCTAAAAATAAAATGTGAGGGACCTATGAAGCTGCTATGTGATAATAAGTCCGCTATTTGTATAGCTCATAATCCAGTTCAATATGATCGGACTAAACATATTGAGGTCGACCGCCATTTCATCAAAGAGAAACTTGATAGCGGGTTGATTACCACTCCATACATTCCCACTGGGCGTCAATTAGCTGATCTATTGACAAAAGGGCTTCCTTCAGATAGATTTCAAGAACTTGCTAGCAAGCTGGGAATGATGAATATCTATTCCTCAGCTTGATGGGGAGTGTTGTAAATAGTAATTATGTAGTCACTTATTAGTAATTATGTATTCATTTATTTGTATTAAATAGTAATTATGTAGTCATTTATTAGTAATTATGTCGTCATTTATTTGTATTTATTTAGTCCGTTACTTGTATATTGGGCCAAGCTCTTTAGGTCAAAATTAGGTCAAGAAGTCTCTATAAATAGAGACCCCTATGTACAGATTCAAATACGATTCAATAATATTTCAAATACCCTTTTTTTTCAAGTCCTTCCACTTATCATGAGAACCAGCCAGTACAACAACCAATAACTATTCTGAATTCACGGGTTTTAAACCATCATGGTGCACCGATTAAGCAATGGCTTGTACAGTGGTCTCACTTTTTACTTGAAGATGCATCATGGGAGAATGAGGAGGACCTTCGTTAGTTTTATCCAGAACTGGACCTTGTGGTCAAGGTCTCTTTTGAAGGAGGGATGAGTGATACGAATGAAGTTAAGCAAGTTGGGCCCAAGAGGATAGTAGGGGCCCCAAGTTGGGCTGTGGACTTTCAAACCTATTAATGGTGTATCATTAATATGGATTGTATGCACATGTGTCAAAATATAGAGGTTAGGGGTTGTGAGGTGTCAATAATGTGGGTTGTATGCATAGGTGTCACAATATGGTAGTTAGGGGCTGTGAGGTGCCGTAATTGGGGATTATCTGTAGGGTACAGGGTATATAACATTGTTGTAACAGAATTGAAAGGCATTGAATAACAAATTGGTTCCATTGTTTCATTTCTAGAGCTCTGCTCTTATCATAAGGCAAGTTAAAGTGGATCAACGTGTGGGTCGGGATAGATCAACCCATATATTATTTTTTTTAGTGTAAGATAATGTTTCATTTGTCATGTCAAGCTTTTATGATATTCAAATTTTTTTGTTCAGTCCTCCTCTACAAAACATGAAAAGGAAAATACTACATATGTTATCCATATATAAAAAGGAAAAATGATTACCAAAAAAAAAGAAGGAAAAATGAGTTCTTAAAAAGTGTTAGTTTGAGTATTAACATATATTTAGACTTGAAATTAGAAAAAATGACCTAAAGTGCGAGATGAAATTAAATAGGGAAATATTTCTCTTCAACTACAGAAAAGAGAAGTTATCTGCGGCAGTCACATGAACCGTATCCTGATATTTTTTTTTTTAAAAAAAATCTCAATATACGAAACCGTATACTAAAAAGCATGTGTCAGCTGCAGATAACTTCTCTCCAACAATAGAAAATTAATAAAACCCAATTAAATAACATTGTTAAACTTGTAAAATAAGATTTTTTATTTATTTATTTGATTGATCCGTCAACCGAATATAAAATGGGACAAGGTTGATGTTTTTCATTCAACTCTCTTCTAAATGGCGAGTAGAAATTTAGTCCTCCCGGAGCACTTTTGATTTGGTGGGACAAGGGAGAGAGAAAGAAAGGAAAAGCTAAAAAGAGAGAAGAGAAAAAAGAGAAAAATAAAAATTTAATACAAGTGTCATATTCTTACTTGAGGGACCACAAAGCCAAGGACCATATTAAATTTTTCCCTATGGTGGTGTTTGGTTGAGGGGATTTGAAATTACCCCATGCAAATGAAGTTGGCATTCTGGAAAGCATGCGTTTGGTTGACAGGTTTATGGCTGAACACCCAGGCAAGTACGATGCATACCATTTTCAATTTTGTGCCATTTAGCTAGGCTTCCGCACTGTTTAAAAAGCATATCAGGATGTGGTTTTTTTTATGATTGCCGGCTAAACACATGGCCCCACAAGACTGATTCTAAAAAGGGTATTTTAAAAAGCAAGGCTGATTCAAAATTTTATAAAAACAAGAGAATTTTTGTCATACCACATTATTTCCCCATCTATATTTTACCAAAAGTCAAACATAGACTTTCCAAAAGTCACCTAATTTTCCTGGTAAATTTTTCTCATACCAAACAATTTTTTTTACATTTTCCTACCAAACTCACTTTCTAACTATTTCTCTAATAATCTCATTTTCCTATTATTCATAAAAATGTCCCCTCAACCAAACACCCCCTAAATGGCAGGCCATTCCATCCATCCCCATTTTTAATGAGTTGACAATAGGTGGGCTGCTTATGAACCTGTTTTGCCACCTAAGTTACGATATTGCTAAATTTAAAGTACATAACAATATATAACAATATATTAAAGGGAAAAACTATTATCATATTATATGAGGTAAGTTTTTTTTTTATACACTCTTCGATAATTGTGAAATTTTTCTCTTTTTTATTTTTTATTTTTTAGATGGTAGATCCCATCATTATATATCTATATATGATATAAGATTTCTTCTCCTATGTAACATGAGATTAAATAAGTCCTATATTAAAAATGGATCAAGTTATCAACATAAAAATAAAAATGGATCAAAATTAGATAAGAGAAGATGGATCGCGAAAATCTTCAGCTACTTTGTTCTTTTCAGTTAGGGCATTAAATGTTAAAATCATTTTGTTGTCCATTTGGCCTTGGAGTTAAGCAAAAGCTTTAACAATTTGTTACGGTGATATATAGAAATCATATGCTATCAATTACTTTGATTATTTCATGCTTGACAAGTTCAAGGTGAGATGATAAGGCACACCCTTTAGAGGATTTCAGCAAATTATATCAATAAGCCCACCATTTTACTTTTTCCCAATTCTACATATAGTGATTAAGGGGTACGGTGGATTCCTCAATAATCAAATAAAGCAAGGTCTAACAGTATTAGCAAATGATTAAATCATACAGAAAATAACAAAATTGGACATGATATGACCTAAACCTAACACCCTTTCAATTGTTTCAGGAACTAGTATGTGAAACAAAAAAAACAATTATGTACTAAGGATATAGTACATAGTTATAATGATAAAAGAGGGAGGATATTCTTACTACTAAAATTTTCTACTACCAACTTACTACCTATTTAATCACCATTAAATCAAAAAAAGAGAATGTTAAAAAAAATTTGAAAAAAGAGAAAATGTTAATCCAATGGTGATTAGATAGGTAGTAAGTTGGTAGTAAAAAATTTTAGTAGTAAGAATATCCCTTCTCATGATAAAATTAATTTATTTTTTTCTCTGTTACGTCAACCGACAATGTCGAAAAGAGAGAAAAAAAGCATCTTTAATATTATAAAGATATGCATGACAATGTTCTCAATTTTTATTTTGTATAAATTTTTATTCTAAAACCAAAAATGACTAAAAAATATGTTGGATAAAATTGATTTATTTTTTCTATTCCAAAAAATGAAACGATAACCCAGACACACATCATTAAATGTGTTATCATGATTTGAAAATTAAAATAAAGGAAAAACTCTTAAGACATAGCATGAACTTGAACACTGCTCAAGTCTTAAAAAAATATACCAACTTGAGCAAAAGGCAAAAAGGTTGAAATTTATCAATAAGCTCTCTCCTGAAAACTCTTACTGATAATTCATATTTGTTCATCTACAGAAGGATGGATGGTCACAGTCTCACAGAATAATGTACAAGGGAAACTGAGACAGGATAATCTACACTGATAATTAAAAATACTCCAAAATGTGTTTGTGCTATCATTTTGTCCACAAAACATGACCCTCAAAGTTATCTCAGGCTACTGAGTAAGAGGAACACATTCAAGTTCAATCTCAAGCACACCTCTCTCAACATTTTGTAGCCTCACTGAGATTTCCTGTCTCACCTTCCCTTCTTCAAGGGATATGATACCATCTTTAACAAGAGTGTTATCACCACTTGCTACCCATTTTCCAAGCTGCATGGACTCGTTGATTGAAGATTTCTCATATGCCTTTGCTGCTGTTAGTAGAGGATGAATGTCTATTTCAGCCTCCCCCATAAAATCATCAGTTGAGAATGTATCCTTGTCATACACAACCTGCATATAAATATAATCAAACATGTATAGCAGATAAAAACAGAAATATGTGAGTTATATTCTCAACAATAAAACTAAAATTAATGGTTTCTGATATAAATGTAAGCAAGGAAGCAATGAATAAAAGTGCAGATGATGGCATAAATATAAGTTTGATGCTACATAGAAAAGACACTAGTTGAGCAATGAAAATGAAAATGGTAAACAATTTTAACTTACCACTTTAAGAGGAGGAATGTTCTCGGGAATTGAGAGCATTAGGCTTTCATTCCAAACTGGATTCAAATTGTTCTTTATGACACGTGTCTTCACTGACTGCAAGAACAGATATTAAAGATGTTACATTGTTAATGTTATTTTCTCCATTATATGTATGATGAAAAGTACTTGAGAGATGAAGAAACTCACTTGGTGACCCAGAGAAATGATGACATAAGGGTCACTTGTCATTACATCTCGGATAGCAAGGTTAGTGCCTTTAACCACATTAACCTTGATCAACCCAACAAATTCAACCATACCTGCCTATAACAGTAAATAGGAAGAAACAAGATTCAGCATTCAGGAAAAAGAAATTTTTTTAATAGCTCAATACTTTAGCATTTTCACTCATTTTCTATTTGGAATAAAGTACAGAATAATAGTATGCTTCACATTATATGAATACCCTATTCCCAATGCAGCAAATTCTGAAAACTAAATCTAGTTTAGTCCCTTTTTTTGTCATATCAGATATACAAACATAAATAGAATTCTAAGTACAATGCAAATATGCAAAGGTAAGACTGCATATAAAGATTGTTCTCATTCCACCCTCACTAGTTGGGGTTTAACGGGGAGTGATTTTTATCAAATCTACAAACATAAATAGAATTTTGAGTACAATGCAAGTTTACTATATAGCTTTCTTTGTTGCATTAGCGGACTTCAAAAGGAGTTATTCAATTTATTTGGCAGACTACTGATAGAGTTGGAAGTAATCAAATGAAACATTACCAATGAATTGCTCTTCTTTGTACTCTTATGCTCAGAATCTTTTCTTCCCCAGCTGTTTCGAAATGAGAGCCCAATACGATTTTTAGTTGTTTGTTTATCATAAAGCTTTTTGTCTAGTGGAGAATTGTTGCTTGAGGAACTGCTCTGACAGGATGATGAACTTCTTCCTTGGGATGGTATAAAGGGACAAGACAAATTCTCCTCAGAATCCAAAAACTGTAGCAGCTCATATTTTCTCCTGAATAATAAATTTACATTTATGAATCACTATGGTGTGCTTCCTCAACAAAAATATGAATTGTGCATGAGAGAGTGTGTTTTCTTTTTTCCAGTTACCTAATAAAATCAGAGCGCTCCTCAATGGAAGAATGTGGTTTTGGTTTTTTTATGTTACTTGGCACGCAAGCTTCGTACTTCTTATTAATTACTGTATTTCCACCCAACTTCACCAATTCATCAACTTGTTCATCTGTCCATTCATCTAACTTCAGTGAGAGAACCTATAATGATGTCAAACCATGTCAGAATTTCTATTCTCATATGTGCAAATAAATGCTTGTGAGCACATGTAGGACCACCCCTCCCACCAAATTGTGAACACAGTTCCAAACATATTTGGATTGCTTAAAATAGCAGTGATTAAGATTTTGATTACAAAAAATTCTTAAGAATTTTTTGTCTTCATAATGACTTTCCCTACTAAGCTAACAAATTTTATTTATCATTTTGTCCACTTCTTCCCTGATAGTAGTCTTAAACAGAAGGTGTTCATCAATTACACGCAATCTTAGCTTCTTTCACATTGCCTTAAGTATCAGAAATCTTGATTTATGACCACTTTACCCTTTACAAAGCATTTCATTGGATAATTATTTTCACAGTTGCTAGCGGTTAATGATGAGAATCCTTTTATACATAAAGATAGGTGTGTCAAGAGTTATATATAACATTAGAAATAGTTTTGACTACAGGATAATAAGGAACATTGCAAAGTATTAATTTTAATGTAAAATAACCTTTAGCTGTACTACAGATACTAAGAAAAAAATTTGTCTAAGAAGAAATATAACCTTGGAAAGGTAAATGATAGTGATTGACAAGTAAGAAGTCAAATAACAAGTTTTTTTACAAGCTATGCTAGGAACATACCTTTGATATATGGACTCCTAGGCTTCTATGTATACCAGAGCACTTGATGCAAATAAATACTCCAAGACTTGAAGACCTGATATTCAACCAATGCAGCGAATAAAATCTAATGCAAATAATATGAACTAGTGATTTTCTGATAAAACTAACTTGTCAATAAATTATGAATATCATCATATTTCATGTCTTCAAAAGTTCTTCCCTCAATACTTCTAGTATTCTAGAAATATAAAATCAAAAAGAAAGATACTCTAACAACATCTGGATCATGATCCATGATAATGTCATTTAAACAATTATGAGCAGTGTGCAAAGCATATAGGCCTGTTAAGAACCAATTCAATTCAAAACCTTAAGGTATTGGGTGAGGTTACATTAATGGTTTTGTATATTTCTAACATGCCCCCTTACACGAGAGCCACTGGGCTTGAAGGGTGAACAATGCACAGGTTCACCTACCTATATTAAGAAATTCCACAATAGATGGTGGGGGGCGGTGAGGAACGAACCCAGGTCATGAAGCTCTGATACCATGTAAAGAACCAATTCAACCCAAAACCTTAAGGTATTGGGTGAGGCTAGATTAATGGTTTTATATATCTCTAATAAGACCAAATTCCTTTAAAATCAAGGTAATACTTACACCCATTTTGGCTCTGACGATCCACAATCAGCACAGAACTTGTTTCCAGCTTGACTCATCAGATTGTCTAGCCTTTCCTGTGGACCTAGTAATAGGAAATATGAAGAAACAGAATAAGTTATAAGATTAAACTAATCAAATAAAATGGCCTGTGAGATAAAGCTTCTTTTCAAAAGGATAATAACTGGGGTTGGGAACAACAAGTGAAGACAATGTAAGACATCAACACCACACCTAAAGATGATCTTCTTTGAACATTATACATAACAAAGTAAGATACAAGAGGAACTTTGATCCTCTACTGTCTGAAATTCTCTCATCCCATTATGTAATACATAGCTGGAAATTAACTAATGCTTTCGTGTTTATGTCATCCTATAAGGAATACAAATTTATTCAACCTATGATGCTAAGGTAGCTATTGCAGTTTTAGTTGATAGGAACTTTTGATGAAACTACATTACACAGAAGATTGAATTGTTTAAGAAATCAAATAAAGTATTCCATTATATTTTCAAAGGTCAAAACAAGAAGCGTCCATATGTGAATTTGAGCACTCATATATATCGAAGTAAAAGCATAAACATCATTCTATAAGTTAATCAATTATCCATAGTTATGCAGATTTTCCATGTTTTTTGTAGCACCTTAGATTCCTAGACATATGTGATGTCCTTGTCCGGTAGCATTTAGCAATCTTAGACATAAAAAAATACCCTTCCCAACTATATAATATACCTAATAAAAAATTATATTATGCCACAATTTATTTTAACTTGTAGTTTATGAAATTTCAATAATGCAATATCAATAAATATTGTATGGTTATACATATATGATAATTATAACAATAATAAGATTATCATATAGTTTATGTAATAACAAGGATGAATAACTATTTATACGGAAAAAAAAGGAAATAAATGAGAGGTCAAATTGGCAATTCAAAAAAATGGTCAAGTCTAATGTCCAGGCATTTAATAACAAATGCCCCATAAGGCTAACCCTGTTTTCAGATAAGAAATGCCTATATACTACACAAACCAAAATAGAGCAATGAATAGAAAATATAAAATTATAAATAACATAAAGAGGTAAAATACCATAAAGCATCCATTGATCCCTTTGACTTTGAGACTTCAAACATGGTGTTTCAGTACAGAAGAGATCAAAAAGGCAAGCTTCTGACCCTACAGACCCTTACAAAATTACATCAAACACAGCCAGTAAGCTTAAATGAAAAATTAAAAATATTTAAAACTCGTCTGTATCCTACTTTTTTAATAACCAATACTCTTGAACCAATTTTCAACAAACTAACATTTAGTATTTCTTCCCCGGGGCGTTTGGTATAGGAGAAATTTTTATTTATCCGGGAATCTCGATTTTCAAAAATATGATTTTTACATTCAGTTAATGATAATATCTGAAAATTTAAAATTTTAAAAATTTCAATTTCTCGAGAATTCGGAAAAAATCCATGTACCAAACGGCCCCATTAGAGTGATAATTTATACTTCTGTAGAAATGGGATTCACCTTCTTGGAAGCCAAGCTTTTTCTTTTCTTGTAAACTCAACTTACACACGCTTAAAAGTAGTAAAATAAAGGAGAAAGATGACATTTCAAACCATACCACTCATATCCAGATTCCTCCTTTTTATGCAATTTTCTATTTCAAAATGTCATTCCATAAACTATAGAAAGACAATGATTCTTCACTCCACATAAGAAACTTCAGAAGATCTTGCAGTAAGTCATAAAGTCACATTTCCCCCCCTGATTTGAACCGTTTAATACAATTACCACTAAAAGATAACTTGAGAAACGAGAACCTAATATTAGATAATTTGCTGTAGAAAGGTAAAGCCCTCATAGTTAATATATTCTTGTCTTCGTTAAGAAAAAAACTCTTTTTGTGGTACTTAAATGAAGCCAATGAGGATATAACTCATCACTGTTGCTGCATTTGGCATTACCACATGGTACAAGACACAATATCCAAAGTTGATATACCCTCAGAATTCAGAACAAGAAAACAATCAAAAGATTCTATCAAAATTCCCAACAAACAACACAATTATCCAAGTAATCTATAACTATGAGGAGCTCAATAGAGTTCTGGCCGTAGCATCCCTGATTACTTTAAAATTAAAAAATACTTAGCATGATTTTCCAGTTCCTTGAGAGAAAGGAAATTGCAAAATCCCTGATTACCCATTGATTGGTCAGTCATATAAATTATTTTACCAAAAAAGAAGGGGCAAGGAAAAGGTAAATTAAAGGGTGCTATCATATATGAATGAATTAGTGCTTCTTGTACACAACATCAATCATTCTTTATATTCCTTTGGTGGACAGAAGGAGATGAAGAGAAAAAAGGTGTAAAAATTTTTACTTGATACACCGTTGATATCAGAATTTTCGTGCTGTATAGACATCTCCAGCTTCCAATGTTTGAAACCAAATCAAGAAATGGTGCTACAATCTGAGAACAGCCATATATTTGTCAACTGCTTCTCTGCATGGAAATACAAGGGCACTTTATATATTTATTTTGATCATCTTGCAAATGGAAGATGCAATTCATCATGAAGAAACACAAAAAAATGCACAAGAGGTTGAAATGAGAAAGCCATAATACAACTCAAAATGAAGAGGCATGAGATATCTATGGTTGGCAAGGAAAAAAAAACAAAAGATTTTCCAACAAAAAATCTTACAGATGAGATGATATCTTTCCTCCAATTAAAATTGGGAATGAGTCAATGTCAGCTTATTCTCTGCAACAAAACCAAATGATTGTCAAAAACCAAAACAAAGAAATCATAACCAGTTAATGGGGTTTGTGAATCATTGATGCAACATACAATGAGATAGAAAAGCTAGAAACTTTTCATTGAAATTGAACGACCCACGAAGATGAAAATCCTGAAGAAAATTGCATTGAACAACAAAAAAGAAATTGAAATGGAAAATTAAACGGAGTATCAAGAAAACGAGACAAGTCCGAAACTTATTATTATAATCTGTGTTCTAACAAATTGCATAGTTTTTTAATTTTGATTTTAAGGGAATGGAAATCATTGGACATTGGTTACAAAAAGTCAATGTGGGAATAAAACATCATTGGGATTGAAACTTTTTCTTGCGATGAATGTCTGACTCACCAAGGAACATCAATGTTCAGAGAGAAACAAAAATTGAACGCGCTTACATGGAGCGTGTTAAATCTTGTACATGACAAATTGACAAGTATTTAAGAAACACACATTCGCATCATCCCTTTCTCATCTCAACTACAACCCATAAATAGAAGTTTCCAGTTTGTTTTTCTTTTTTCTCTCAATATTTTTAAAAAATGTGAGAAGGAAAAAAGGTGTCATGTGACTGTGAGTTGAGACTCTAACCTCTTTTATTTACAGGTTAAATTACAAAAAATTTGGGTACATAAATTAAAATTTTGATTCTTATATGAAATGAAGACAAACATATTACAATTTGGTTTATTCTATTAATTTAATTATTCATTCAGAGTGAGTCTATTGAAAATATTTAAGTGTAAGTTATAAAGAAGTCTCACGTCGGTTAGAATTGAACAAAATGAGGATCATATAAGTGCAAAAGATCTATAGACCTACAACCTTAAAACTTTTGGTTGAAGTGTGATATCGGCTCACTTATTGTGATTTGTCATGTGCCTCATTGGTGAAAGAATCTTTGCAAAGCGTTAGTCACATTCTCACACTTATACGTTTGGTAGATGTCAATCGGCATTCTTGCAAAGATACTCGGAGGAACAAATATTTATTGAAAAATCTCTTGTTTAAGTGAAGATTGGAAATGAGCATAAAGTTTACAAATTAAAAAATGCATTTTATTGACTAAAACAAGCCCTTGAGCTTGATATAGTCGTATTGAATCTCACTTTTAAGATTGGTTTTACAAAGTGTCCTTATGAACATGGATTTTTTGTTAAGATTGATGACAAAGGAAAAATGCTTATTGTTTGCTTATATGTAGATGATCTCATATTCACCGTAAATTGTGATGTTATGTTTAAAGAATTTAAATTATCTATGATGAATGAGTTTAAAAGAACTGATTTTAGTATGATATATTACTTTCTTGGTATAAGTGTAGCAAAATTAACTGATGGAATTTTTATTCTAAAAAAATAATATGCGGGAGATATTCCCAACAGAGTCAATACTTAATATTTTTATTAGTCAATAGAAAAATGGGTTCGCATGCGATACTAATCTCGAATTAAGTGAAATTAGAATTCTTCTATTAGTTGTCTACAGTTGAATAAGTTGAACAAAACTGTTTATAAAACACTCAAAGTAGATGGGATTAGGGAAATTAACCCTCAAAATGAAAAGGACTGATCACTGATATGTGTTATTTATTTATATTTTAAAGGTTAATTCACTTTTTTACAATGGTTTGACTTGATTTATATGAAACTATTATGCCTGAGGCAAAGATGTCTAACCCTAGGTTAGATATTTGATGTTGGATCTAGTGCTTTCTCTTTAGATACCTATGAACTAGGTATCTTGGGGTCAGCGAATCACTACACACTATATGACGACCTTAGTCAAAGGGTGTGTGTGTGTGCGCTGTGTGATTGCATAAAATAGGGTTAGAGAAAGATCAGCCATACATGTGGTCTTTAGCTCCTATTTATAGTGCTTACCTTTGGGCTTGTATTGTTTGGGTCTTCTATGAATATGGGCCTTACTCGGGTCCATAACAGTAGCCCCCCAGCCCGGTAGACTGAGTATTCATGGTGCCGGGATGTCTGATTCCTGTTCTTCAACGTAGGTGTTGTACCTTTGTTTACCTCTTTACCCCGGTTTCAACTTACATTCAATTGTTACTAGGAAGGAGGAGCAGAATACTTTGGACTATCCTGGTTGTGAACCCTATCCGGGATATCCCTCCTGGATAACGATTATGGTCCGGACATACATTCTGGGCCGGAATGTACAGCCGAACTACGACCAAGGTTCTTATTCTGAACAACGGTTCTTATTCTGAGAAACGGTTCTCCTTCTTACGTAAAGATAACTACCTTCCACGTGGCTCCCCCTAACCAACGTGACGTGCGCCACTACTCCAACCTGCGATGTTCGCATTAATTGTAACTGTCAGGACGTCCCTCAACTGTCCTTTCTGTCAGTTTTACTCTTTTGCCCCTGTCCTTTCGTTTCGCGGGTTATACCTTTTTAATTTTCCTTTCTCCTTCTCATTTTGTTATTACGTGCTTCTTCATCTGATCCTGCTTTTCAACTTCTCTCCTATCTTGCAAACGCTTCCTGGTTCCTCAAGCTTCTCCAGGTATGTTTCGTAATTCCCTACCAGCTTTTACCTTCCTTCAATGTTGTTTCCTGCCTTGTACTATTTTGTGGTATGTTCTAGACCTATGATGCTTCTGGTATTACTGTATCTGCACTTCAAGCATGCATGTTTAATTCTTGTTTGCCTGATTATACTTTACTGGAATATTACACGCTGTCCGCTTGAAGCTTCTCTGCTATTGCTTGCCATTGTTTACATTCTATCGTTCCTTAGTTCAAAACTTCTAGTATGAGTGAGAGGAACTTTAGTGGCCGAGGGGGACCCACTTGCCCTCGTATCTTCGGCCGTAATGATGAAATTGCCGCAAAGGAAGAGGAAAGGGCTGCACAGGAGGAAGAAAGGTTCATCCAAAGCCTACCTCCTGGTCCGAGATATTGGTTGTTTAGTAGACCTCGTACCAAGGAGGAAACACAGGCCGCCTTACTTAGGGGCTATCAAGGAGGTAGAAATAGGGGAGCGTCTTCATCTCATCCCTCTACCCGAGGGCGCTGCCAAAGTATTAGCCGTGCTCTAGGTGTTTTACCAGAACGTGCTACTCGTAACTTAGGTAGAAACCCCGTCCCTTCTCGTCCGACTTCCACCTCCACTCACACGCCGATTTCAGTTCAAACTCCTTCTCAGGCAGTGCCAGTTAATGTGGGTATTAGGAACTCGGATCCTTGCTTCAATTGCGTTTACCTTAGTGCTCAATTTGTTGAAAAAGGAAACGATTTCATGGCCGACCTGGAGCTAGGCAGTTGTTCGCACCACCCCGGCTCATTTACCCCTGCTTCTTTGGTTCCCTCTGATGACTCTTCAAGCTCTTCTCATAGTAGTTTGTTTAGCTCAGGTGCGTCTTTCTTTGCTACGTACTTTTTCTACTGTAATCCTCCCATTTTGCTGTTTTAAGTTTTTATGGAGTCCCCTTCTGCAGAATTAAACATGGAGATTACCTCATCTAGCCAAGGACAGGAGGCCGAGGTGAGCCCTGCCGAGAAAGGTTCCGCACCGGTCAGTAGCAATCTCCGCAAACAATTTTCATAGGTCACTGAGGAGGTTCTTAGCTTCAGATCCGCAATGACCACTGAAGAGATATCCGGGCTTCCTATAGGTAACCCGGTGGGATTCAATACCTTCTATCCAGCAGAAGACGAGCCTGTTTGTTCAGGCTGGAATCTTCAAGAACCACCCTCTCTTTTTTTATCGCGACTTAATTACCAAGATTGGTATTCGCTTTCCTCTTTCCCCTTTTAAAATACAGCTTCTGAACCATCTCCTCCTTGCTCTCACTCAAATTCATCCCAACGGTTGGGCCTATATTGTTGCCTTTGAGCAACTCTGCGCATCTTTGTCTGTAACATGCATTGTTCCCCTTTTTCTTTACTTTTTTAACATATACACTCCTCGTACCGGTTCCGAGCCGCCTCAATTCAAAGGGTGGACCAGCATCCGTGGTCGTGCTAGCAAGCCCTCAAGGAAATTATTCTCCATTTACAGTGACTCTTTTAAAGACTTCAAGGGCTCATATTTTAAAGTGGTTGCTGAAGTTGGAGAAAGGCCATGGTTTATAGGAGAGGATGAGGAAGGAAAGTTTCCTCTTTATTGGTCTCCAGAGCATCATCTCCGTAGGTCAGCTGATTTTAAACTTAGATTGTCAGTGGAGGATAAAGCCAATGTTAAGATCCTATTAGCTCATGTCGGCTCTCAAGGCCATTTGAGTGCAGCTTCTTTGGTTTCTAAATCCAATGCCAATCTAGATCAAACTATTATGCCCTTGCAACTTCTTCAATGTATCTCTTCTAATACTGATTTCTTTTTCTGGTCATAACTATACTTACTTGATTTGTAGGTTGTCAGATGGATTCTGCTCCAGATGAAGTACCTGATTATGTGTTATCCCGGCGAGGAAAGGCTGCAGCTTGACCTCCCCCTGCTAACAAAAGGCCAAGGACCATTAGTCCTTGCGTAGGGGCCACTACTTCCAACCCGGCTACCAACCCCGACATATCAGTTTTGGACTTGACCAACGACGCTGATAACTGGCTGGATCCAAGTAACCACCAAGCTTCTCCTGCTGTGGGCACCGGAGGTACCACTCCAGCCGTGGTGTCTATGGATCGAGGTACTCTGTCGCCGACTCCCCTTCCTACTGGGCTTAGGAGAGGGGCTTTATGGGAGACCGGGGTTTCCCCAGAGCTTCGTGGTGTTACACGCCCTCCACCTGCCTTTTACGGGAATGAGATACTTTCAAGAGCCGAGGTTGAAGAATTGCAAAAGGCCGAGCTATATGCTTACAAGGTGGCCTCTTTAGTGAAACCATACTCTCTTTTATTGGAGAAGTATTCAGAAATTTGCGCTGAGAAGGACGCCCTTCAAATTGATAGAGATGCTCTTCAGGCCGATCGTGACAAGGTGATTCAAGAGAATCAAAATTTGACAATTGCTGCTGCTGATTTGAAATCGTCTTTGGAGCAGTCCCAAGCCGATTTGAAGCTTGTATCAGATTCCTTTGGCCTCGATGCTAACAAAGAGGCTCTCATTAATTATTTCAAGGAGAAGCTATCCTCGTTAGTCGAGACTGAGTCAAAGATCGCAGCTTTGAATTTGGAAATCAACAAGCTGAAATCCGATCTCCAAGATTTGCAATCTGATTATGATCATAGT